GTCCTCTAGCGCCACCGTCTAGGTCACCCGTCCTTCTCGCGTCTCAGTAGGATGGTACGTCACCGTCTGGTCTCAGGTCTCATAGAGTCGCTCGGTCCGCATCCTCGCTCGCCTGCGCCGTCGTGCACTCCTTGCTTCGAGGGTCGGCAGCGCGCTGCCCCTCACACCTCCTCGTTCCCCCCCACTACGGCTCCCTTACAGACCCTGCACCTGGACGTCTGGGGCCCCTCCCCGGTCCTTGGCCCACGTCAGGAGCGCTACTTCCTGATTGTGGTGGACAACTACTCCCGCTACACCACAGTTTTTCCCTAACGCCCTAACCATGCAAGGAAATACAAATGTAACACCTAGACTAGACTAAACACAACATATATAATGCATGTTGACACACCCCCATAGTCTAGGGTGGATCACGAAATCACCACACATTCTAAGAGCAAGGGCCACAGGACCAGTCAGCAAGAACAAGCAACGGTCACAAGACCAGTCCACAAGAACACGACAAATCTCAGGGTGGATCTCAAGATCACCACACAGTCCGAGAGCAAGCAAGGGGCCACAAGGCCGGTCTACATGCAAGGATATAGCAAGTATAAGAGATACAAGAGTACAAGACAAGCAAGACAAGCATCTCTATCCAAGAAAGTGAGGGCCTGTAGACACTGTTAAAGTTATATTTAAGATATATCCTACTTTCTGTAGTTACTGCAATGTTTCTACCCCTTGTTGGTGGTGTACCACCTCGTGTGCCTTATTCTCGACTATATCTTGTATGCATCGCTATTAGTGAATCCCTCTTTTGTCCACCCTCTCGCCCACGCTACTCTCGACACCCTTGGCCTAGGCTACTAAGCCTAGGCCCTTGTTAAACCCGTTTCCTAGTTAAGTCAGTCCCGTGACATGGTATTAGAGCTAGTAATTTCCTAACCTGTCAACTACTATGGGCCCACCAACCCTTCACGCTCACGTCCCCCGCTCGAAGCTAGTTTCCCCGTTTCGTCCGCCCATCGATCGTCATTTTCTGCCCATGGCGTGTGCGGCCTATGGCGAGCACGCCCGCAAAACCGCCGACGGACCCGCCAACAAACCCGCCACCAGACCTGCCAACGAGGTCGCCGACGGACCTGCCAGCGAGTACGGCAACGAACCCGCCAACGGACCCGCCAGCAAGTGCGCCAACAAACCCGCCGACGGACCCGCCGTCGGATCCGCGAACGAGTGCGCCAGCAAGCCCGCCGACGAACCCGCCGACGGACCCGCCAACGCGCGCGTCAGCAAGCCCGCCGATGGATCCGCCAACGAACCCGCCGACGGACCCGCCAGCGAGCTCGCCAACGGATCCGGAAATCCGGCAGCAAGCGAGCCAGCTGACCCGCGGACCCGCCAGCAGGCAAACCAGCGGACCCGCGAGCCCGCAAGCAAGCGAGCCGACGGACCAGCGCCATCCACTGGCGCCACCGCCAGCTCCACCGCCAGCCCTGCCGCCAGACCCTCTATCCCCCCCGTCGCCTTCCCTTCCGCGACTGCAGCTGTGGGGGGGGAGGTGGCGTGGAGGGGAGGGCCGCCGTGAACCAGTGCAGCTCCACCCTCTGCCTTGCCTCTCCTCTCCCGCGGCTGCTGCTGTGGGGGGGAGGTGGCGGGGACGGGGGGTGGGGGGGAGGGCTGGCCCCTGTGTGAATGGCTTTGCAAGGACTACGATGGGTGGGGAAGGGTCTGGAGAAAGGAAGGGGGGGGGAGGGTGAGATACAAGGGGGCGGCTGATAAGGGGGGGTGAGGTTAAGGGGGGTGGTTGACTGGGGGTGGGGATGTGGGGGTTAGTAAGAGGGGATCGCCGGCATCGAGCAGTAAGGCTCATGCACGCCCCCCAACCTCCTCTCCTCATCCCTCACTCAACTCCCCCTTCGTAGATGGGGGTTTGTAAGAGGGATCGCCGGCAGTGAGCAGTAAGGCTCATGCACGCCCCCCACCTCTTCTCCTCATCCCTCTCACTCAACCTCCCCCTTCGTACTTCTCTCCTCTCCTCTCCTCTCCTCTCTCTCTCTAATGGTCCTTGTATTGATATAGCAGCAAAGTACAAGCATGCAGAGTATGGATGTAACAAACAAAGCACCAATACCTACTCACTATTCCCCTAGAGCTCCAAGAAGGGCTCTACCACCGCAAAGCAGTCCCCTAGGTGTAACTCTTGACCGATACCCCCTACAGGCGGGTTCTCTGCTGCTGCCGCCTCGCCCAACTTGAGTAGAAGACCACGCCTCTGAAGGGCCACTGACCATCGCTGTCGAAACTGGTGCAGAAACTTGGCGGCATAAAAGGATTTAGAGTCGGCATTGAAATGGCGCCGAGCGGCTGTGTCCGCTAGTAGCTTTAGGAAGACTGGTACTTCCGCGCATGGGCAGCCATAGGTGTCGACTGCAAGTGGGAAAAAGCCAACCGTCTCCGGCCGGTTGGTATAATGCTTGATCTTCTTATCCGCTTGTTCCCATGCCGCCCATCCCCTGCCTTTTTGCGCCTCTGGGTCCCTTGTGCTTATGGGGTCTGTGATGGTGACATCACAAACATAAACTGCCCCACTGCTTCTATCCATCAAGGTGAAATCGGCGGTTTGTTCCTCGATAGGGCAGTGGACAGCCGACTCGCCGTGAACTATGAATCCTGCGTGCTGCGCCATGCTAATGCACGCATCCCGTAGCTCGTTGTGAGTGTTGATGCGATGTTTGCCCATGCCGCAGCGGAGGAGATGGTTCGGCAGGCGGGGATCAGTGATAGCTGACTTGTCTGCGCAGTCGCAGTTCTTAGGGGTTGAAAAGGGGAGGGCTAGGCGGAAGCGAACGGCGTTGGCGAAGTGTACGGGGCCTATCCGTCTCGTGGGTTCAATGGGGATCGCGGTCAGCCAATCGCCGGTGCCATATCCAGTTAGCGAGAACATCCGCTGCGTGTGGCCTGAGAGTGGGTTCAGCCGCATGCGCCTGGTTGCCTGGACATGCACGGCGTATCTGCTTTCGTGCACCTTTAGCCCGAGCACGTGTTGTAGCCTAATATCCGATCGCTCCAGCCGCTCCTTCTCCAGGATCTCGCGCGCGTCTAGTGGCAGGGCCGCTTCACACTCCGTGAGCCATGAATGCATCGGCGTGCTGTCATCCCTTGGCAGTAGCATATGCTTCTGAGCGATCGTCAAAGCGTTCTCTGGTTCTAGCGCCAGGGAGGACAGGAATAGCGCCACTTGGGTGGAACTCGCTGTGAAACCGTAGACTCCTTCTATGAGCAGGTCTGTAATGCCTATGCCGCCTAGCGACGTGGGCAGCGACGCCTGTTCCCACACACGCGCTTGCTCGGTGCGACACGTTGGCATGCGGATGTTGCATGAGGTGAGTAAGGTAATGAGCAGGTCCCGACCCCACTGGCTCCAGGTGTCGCGGGGGAGTAGGTGGAGCGGTGTCGTTCTAATGAGGTAGGCTACTCGGCTGGAGATGCATCGCGTGAGGAGCAGTGCGGCTACTTGGGGGTCAGCACGTTCTATAAGCGGTAACGGCTTCGTCATCTCGTCTAGCTGTCCGGATAGGAACTTGGCTGCTCCAGCGTCCGTCCCCACGTAGCTACCCAGAAGCCGTACTCCGTCCTTAGAAAACGGCACTCCGGGCGGGAGTTGTGCTTGTGTGACTGTGGTTGAGCTCCAGGCCGCGCATTTCTGCGGATTATGCGTCAGGCCCAGATGTGCTAGCTTGGCTGTGAAATCTGTGAAAGCTGCTACAGTGCACGATGTGTCACCCAGGAAGGTGACATCGTCCGCATACGCCAAGCAAAGCACGTCGGGGTGTGCCTCTGCAATCTCACAGAGCGCAGGGTGTATCCCTGCTGCAAACAGTAACGGGCCTAGAGGGTCTCCCTGCCGAACGCCCCGTTCACTTTGCAGTGGTTCGTAGTTGAAATTGGCGTCCAGGAGCAGTTGCGACGGGTTACTGTAGGTCAGTTTTACAAACGGCTGCAGAGGCGAGAGTCCGGGCTCCTGTAACGCAGTAGCGATGGCATGTCGCGAAATGCTGTTGAATGCGTTTGAAATATCGGCTTGCAGGACCAGGCTGTTGGGACGGGCATCCAAGAATGCCCTGGCTGCGTGGATTACCGCCTCTGCTCCACCTGGCACTGCCACGCCATACTGAAGTGGCAGGAAATGTTCGCGGGCAGCTTCACCCATGGCTATCAGGGCTGCCTTGGCTGTCAGCCTTGTCAAGCATTCGCCTATCGCGATTGGCCGGGCTCCTCCCCCAGGTTTGGCCAGAGCTATGAGCCGTGACGCAGTCAGATTTTTTGCGACCGGGCCTGGCAAATTTCCTCCGAGCATGGTATTGACCAAGGCGTGCAGATGGGTGCTGACCATTGCGTTGGTGATCGCCGCGTCGCGCATGTGCTCAAATGTCGTACCCGAAGGTCCAGCTCCCACCCCGTTCTCGCATCTTCCCAGAATCTTGGCGAACTCAGCATGGGTGATGGACAGCTTTGACTCGGGTGGCTCGGGCCAGGTCACTGCTTCGTGTACTGCTGGCGGGTGCTTTTGACGCAGCTCTTCCAAAATTTCCGGGCTCGGGGTGCAGACGGGCGTTGACTCCAGGGCCAGCATGGCCCGTCGTAGACTCCCCCCTTTCCCCAGGCCCTCGGCTCGGCTGATGACTCCGGTCGTGTCAGGCTGGTCTCGTGGTGGTGGGGTTGTGTTGACTGCGTCGACCGCGTCCTGGTACAGCTGCCCCCATTCGCCGCGCTGAAAGGCTCGGAGCCGGGCCTTGACCCCCGGCCAGTTCGGTCTTTGTGGCGAGGTCTGGCGAAGTGTTAGGCGCGGGAGAAACAGCAGCAGGCGCCAACCCGCTTCGGATTCAGGGTTTCGCGATAGGTGGAGTAACGGTGTCAGAAGCGCTAGCGAGAACAGTTGGCACAGATTCGGCGGTAAACGGCGTGACAGCGAAGGCTGACGACTGTTGCAGAGTGCTGCGATGTCCCAGCTCGCGATGGTTGCGAACAGGTCTGCTCGCCTTGCCAGCTCGTCAGGCGAAAAAATAGCGGGGAGTCGGAGTGGTTTGGCGCGTCGCGACATTGATAGTGGCGGTTTGATTTCGTCGAGCGCGGCCCGTCCGCGCTGGTGGGATTGGGGTTGGAATTTCACCTGTTCGATCGACATCGGACGGTCGATGATCCGCCTGTGCTACTTGCGTGGCTGAGTGTCCTACCCCTGCTACTCTTCTTCCCGCTGCCTCCCTCGCACTGCCTTCGTCCTCAATCCCCTCGTCTTCGCTGGGAGGGAGGGATTCTTCCCTATAAGATGGGTCCCTTAGCTCGTCTTCCTCATTAGTTGCATCCAGGGCCGTTAAAGCCATTCGTGCTGCTGCTTGATACCCGTTCTCCGGACCTCCGCCCGTCCCGCTAGTAACCTGCCTCCTAGCTCCGCAACCTCCCCGCTCTCCAGATGGTGATTGCCGGTTCATCTGAGCCGTCGCCAGAGCGCGCTGCCGCCTGATCAGCTGTGGTCGCCCAGCCTCAGTCGGGGCCCGGAAAGGCGACCACGGCGACGAAGCCCCCTGTACCGCCGGCTCCGAAGCCCGTGACAACAGTCGCTGAAAAGACTCTTCCCCACGCACCCGCGGATCCCCTTGCCGTGTCAGGGGCTGGCCCGTCCGCTCCTGCTGCTGCTCCGTCCGCTCCGGCTGCTGCTCCTGTTCCCCTGGCTCTCTTTGTCGAGCTGCCGGTGTCTGCTCCTGCTGGGGGTGTTGCTGATCCCCCTGTTCCTGTCCCTGGCGCGCCCGTTGCACCGCCCACTTCTGTCCCCGACGTGCCTGCTCCGGCTTCTGTTTCGTCGCCGAAGGCGGCGTCCGCCACCACTGGCGGCCCGGCTCCGTCGGTTGCGCCAGTCCGCACCTGCGGCGATGCCAATGGCCCAAGCAGGTCAGCCGTCACGCCCCCCGTCGCCTGACCGCCGCCCGTCTCTCCCCCATTCCCCCACGCTCCATCAGGAGTGCGCATCGTCTCGGCGCCGGCGTGACTCTCCACGGCGCTACCAACAGCAATCTCACTGGCCTGCCCAACCCGGCGGTCACGGGGGCTGGAGGGGTCCCCGCGGGCGCGGTGGCGGTGGGGCGTACCGCCCGCCGCGGATCTTCAGCGGGAAGTGTCGAAAGTAGTGCGCGAGGAGAGGGCCGCGCAGAGCCAGAGCAGTTCGATGCACGCCTCGCCTGCCCGCGCGGCTCCACGTCAGGCTGCGCTCCCCTTGGATCCACTACCTGCTGCTGCACCCCCTCCGCAGGTTCTAGCCCCAACGCTTCTTGCTCCCGCTGCCTCGGCACCTGCTCCTGGAGCGCGCCTTCGTCTGCCGCCGGTTCCGCCCGTGGTGGGAGTGGAATTTGTGGCCGCGGGAGGAGGAGCGGCGGGGGCACGGTATTCTCCTCACGTCGCTGGTGGATCGGCGTTTCTTGCTGCCGATGAGCCGTTTCATTTCCTGGCGGAGGCACTTCAGCCTCCTCTGACACGCGTTCCTGAGGCGACACTCGGCCAGCTCTCCCGCCTCGCGGAGAGCCTTCATGCGCGGCTGTTGATTCAGGTGCTTGCTCATGCGTCTCTCCCCGCAATTCCCGCAGAGACGTTTCATGACCGTCCGCGTGAGACGTGCTTGGATGCTGCGGACCAGCTCGCACTGCTCCTGGGGCCCGTGTTGGCTGCGCCCGCAGAGGGTGGCACTGCGGCTGTGGGACAGCTTGACGAGGCTGTCCGGGGTTTGAGGCGACACTTGCGCGCAGGTTCTGGAGCCGCCGCGATCGGCGCAAGCACACTTGTGGTCCGGGAGCTGTGGCGGACGTTGACGGCCGTTCTTCACGCCCTTGGAGCTCACCGCATGTAGACGCGGACTCCTCTTGCCCCATCGATGCTTCTCTTGCCTAGGCCGTAGCAGGAGGCGCCATGATTGTATTGCCGTTTGTTATATTGACTTGTCAATGTTTGCCCCTTGCCGTCCCTCACGCGCGGCCGAAGGCCGCGCTGGCGAGCGCCGGCCGCCGAAGGCGAACAATTCTGAACCAGCACTGAATAATGAGATGGAGAGGCCTAGAGAGGCCTCTTAAGTAGCTCACTGAAGGAGAGGGCAGAGGGCTAAGGGAGAGGGCAGAGGCTATGTCCCCCTCTCTCTCTCTCTCTCTCTCTCTCTCTCTCTCTCTCTCTCTTTCTCTCTCTCTCTCTCTCTCTCTCTCTCTCTCTCTCTCTCTCTCTCTCTCTCTCTCTCTCTCTCTCTCTCTCTCTCGGCCCCATCTCTGCGCCATGCTGCTTGCCCCTAAGGGGGATCCAGACGCCCTTGATATCCCGACCCCTCGCACTCACGCGGAGGCGGTCTCGGGACCTTACGCCCCGTACTGGATAGCAACTGAGGAGGCAGAGATGGCATCTTACAGGTCCACAAGCACCTACGTCGACGCAGTCCTACCACCAGGGACGAACGTCGTCAGTGGCAGGTGGCTCTACAAGGTGAAGCGTCCGCCTGGAGCACCACCGTTGTTCAAGGCGCGCTACGTGGCGAGAGGCTTCAGTCAGCGAGAGGGGGTAGACTTCTTCCAGACCTTCGCTCCCACCCTGAAGGGACCACTCTTCGGGCGTTGCTGCACGTTGCAGCCCAGCGCGACTACAAGTTGCACTCCTTGGACTTCTCTACGGCGTTCCTGCAGGGGAGCCTGCACGAGCAGATTTGGCTGCGTCGCCCACCTGGCTTCACTGGCTCTTTCCTTGCTGGGAACCGGTGGCAGTTGCGTCGACCAGTCTACGGCCTACGCCAGGCTCCCCGCGAGTGGCACGACACGCTTTGCTTGACCCTAGCAGCACTTGGTTTCTTCCCGTCGTCTGCCGACCCGTCGCTATTCATCCACCGTACCTTGACCCCGTTCTTTGTTCTGGTTTACGTCGACGACCTGGTCTTCGCCACCCCGGCCTGCACAGCACTGGCCTCCGTGAAGGAGGAACTGCAGAGGAGACACACTTGCACTGACCTTGGTGAGCGCCGCAGCGCTACCTTGGCCTGCAGGTCACCAAGGACAGGGCAGCTCGCACCATTGCGCTGACGCAGTCGCAAATGGTCGAGCAGATCCTCACGCGGTTTCGCTTCCCGTTCTCCAAGGTATAGCTCACTCCTCTTGCTGTGGATCATGGGCTCACGTCTCCACCTTCGGACGAGTCCTTTAAGTCCAGTGGTCCATATCCTGAGTTGGTGGGTTGTCTCATGTACCTGATGACATGTACTCGCCCTGACCTCGCTTTCCCTCTCAGTGTCCTGGCACGCTTTGTTGCGCCTGGGAAACACCGACTTTCCCACTGGTTGGCAGCTAAGAGGATGCTGAAGTATGTGGCGGGCACATCAGGCATGGGACTTGTCCTTGGAGGGAAGCAGCAGTTACACTCACCGGTTTCTCGGACTCGTCGTACAATGACTGTGGCCAGACGTACAGATCTACGCAGGGTTACTGCTTCAGCCTTGGCACCGGAGCTCTCTCGTGGAGGTCGACTCGTGCGTCGTCCGTCGCTAGCTCCAACTGCAAGGCAGAGGTGTACGCTGCGGCCATGGCCGCCCAGGAGCTTCGCTGGATGTTTTTCCTCCTCACCGACCTCGGTGAGCGGCCTCGCTCTCCCCCAATCTTGTTCGCTGACAACATGTCTGCTGTCCTGTTGTGCAAGGATCCCCGTCTGGTTGGGAAGGCGAAGCACATCCAACTTCGTTACTTCCTTCTGCGCGAGTTGCAGCAGTTTGGCCATGCCCGCGTGGTATGTATGGTCTCTGAGGCCAACACTGCAGATATCTTCACCAAGGCGTTGCCGCCTTGTGACCACCAGCGTTTCTGCACCCAGCTAGGCCTTGTGCCTGTCAGTCCTCACTGGCTTAGGGATTCTTTGTCTTGTACTCTTGCATCTCACTATATTTGCTTTATATCTGCTTGTGGACTAGGCTTGTGGCCCCTTGCTTACGAAGAGATGATTGTCTTGCTTGTCTTGTACTCTTGCATCTCCTATATTTGCTATATACTTGCATGTGGATTGGCTTTCTGGCCCCTTGCTTGTTCTCGGACTGTGTGGTGATCTTGAGATCCACCCTGAGATTTGTCTTGTTCTTGTGGACAGGTCTTGTGACCATTGCTTGTTTTTGCTGACTGGTCTTGTGACCCTTGCCTTCAGACTGTGTGGTGACTTCGTGCTCAGTTGTGTTTGCTTGCATGGTTAGGGTTTCCTATATCTATGGTTGTACTAGTCATTGCTAATTATTCATAGCTCACATTCTAAGAGTTCTTGCTGACTGGTCCTGTGACCCTTGCTCTCAGATTGTGTCGTGACTTCGTAATCCACCCTGAGATGTGTGCTGCTTTCCAAAGGACTACCGCCACCTAGGCTATGGGGGTTTGTCAAACTATAATTGTAAACGTTTATATGTGTTAGTCTAGGTGTGTTACATTTGACCTAGCACTAGGGTTAGGTTTATTGCATATGCTTGTTTGTTCATTGCTAATATCATTCATTCCGTAGTTCCTTGCTTGACATAAGCAACACGTGAAATGACGGGTGCATGCGGAAATGAGCGGGAAGGCGAAGACGTTATGCGTCTGGACCTAGTGCGCGCTCAGTGACGAATTGGCCTATGAAACGAGGATGAATCTTGCTGTCTTGTGGGTATCGGAGGTTGCGGCTATTCAAAAGGACACGGTCGCAGACTGAGAACGACACCTCACGACGATTACGGTTGGTGGTGCGTGCCATGCGTGCATTCGCAAGCTCAAGGTGCTTCCTCAAGTGATCATGAATGCAGGTGAGATGCTGATGGATTTTTTTTCGCACGAGGGACTGTGGGTGTGAGATCGACACGAGTGGGGACATTGGGGTGCTGACCGTACTGTGCGAAGTACGGCGACATGCCTATGGACGAGTGATGCGTGTTGTTGTATGCGAACTCGGCCATGCTCAGCTTCTTGTCCAATGCGGCTGCTTCGTGCATCCTGATGCTGCGAAGAATCTGCTCCAAGGTCTGGTTCACGCGCTCAGTCTGGCTGTCTGTCTCTTAATGGTACGCAGACGACATGGCTAAGCGAGTTCCAAACAGTGCAAAAATCTGCTTTCATAACTTCGAAGTGAAATGAGGGTCACGGTCTGAGATGATGGAATCTGGATCTCCGTGCAGTCGGACTACGTTATCTACGAACAGCGTCGCGGTTTCCTCTACTGTGACCTTGCCGTGCGCGAGGATGAAGTGCGCTGCTCGAGAAAACTTATCCACTACCACAAAGATGGCGTCATGACCCCTAACTATGCGTGGTAATGCCATGATGAAGTCCATGGTAACTACCTGCCAAGGTCGGTCGGGTGGTGGAATCGGTTGCAAAAGTCCTGCTTTGCATTTGCAAGGGGACTTCGTACGCGACGTGTCGCACGAGCGAATATAATCCTCTATGTCTGCTGCAAGCCCTGGCCAAAAGTACGTGCAACTAAGCGTCTTAGCCGTCATATCTACTCCGAAGTGACCCACGCTAACTACATCGTGCGCTTCGGAAAGAAGAAGCTGTCGAAGAGGGCGGTAGGCGGGAACCCAAATCCATGTGGTACCCTTCCAAATGTAGACACTACCCTCCACCTCTGCTCCTACGGGCGACTGTAGTGTGAAGTCGGGATGTACTGTGTAACCGTGCTCGAAAAGTGTTGTGAGAAGAGGATGGCCGGGAGTGACTGTGAGGCTAGCGAGCTGGCAACTAGGGCGAGTGATCGGATCTGCTGGGTTGCGCACGTCTGGCTTGTACTCCACCCTGTAGTGAAAGCTCCACTGCAGACATATGAAACAACGACGGACCAAAAGAACGAGCCCGCGGGGCCCAGTCCGGAGAGGGGATGTCACCCTAATCCGCGCGAAGACGGCCCGTGAGCTGCGCAAAGCACTGTCCAGGAGGGTGAAAGGGGCCACAGGGATGACCGCGACGTATCCCAATCTGGACAAGGTACATCCAAAGAGTAGGGGGGTACCACGGGACACCCAGCTGGGCGCGACACTGCCACGCCCAGCGCCCCCGGGTCCACCAAATCCCATTGCTGGTGCTGCTGCTGTACCTGCCGCTGAACCTGCTGCTGCGGCTGTCCCTGCTGCTGCGGCTGTCCCTGCTGCTGCGGCTGTCCTTGCTGCTGCTGCGGTCCCTGCGGTGGATGCTGCTGCTGGGCCCGCCGCTACTGCTGCGCTGCCGCCACTGCGTACCAACCAGCTGGCCCAGCACCCCCTCCCGTTGGGGCCGCAGGCCCAGTGCCACCTCCAGTGCCGCCTCCACTGGACGCACTAGAACCGCCAACACCTCCGCCACCCCCTGCGTCACCCCCTCCGCCACCACCGACGCCACCACCCTTCCCCCTTTTCTTACCGACCTTGCCTCTTGCCCGCCTACTGGCAACGGACACGGCTGCACGCGAGGCGGGACGATCTGCGCGCGGGGCGGGCAGAACGCGGGGCGGGACGGGCTGCGCGCGGGCGGGTCGGGATGCGCGCGGGGCGGGACGGGCTGCACGTGCGGCGGGATGGGAAACACGGGGGGCATGGCGCTAACCGGCGGGGAGGGACGGGGCACGGCCTGCTAAGGGACGGGGCTTGGCGAGCTAGGCTAGGCGGGGCGAAGGGCTAACCTAGGTTAGGATCGGGTACCTACTCGTCATACCATCTCAAAAACAGAAACAGCGGAATGGATGAACTAGCAAAGGGGTTGGGTACAAATAGCAAACCCTAGAATGTTGTACTCCCTACAGTGGTACTCACTACAGCCTATCAACCAAATAGAACATTTGACAGGCACAGAGCCAGGATGTCAAAAGTGTTGTGGTAACACCACGCCATAACATGTGGCTTGTACAGTATGTGTTAGGCTTAGACAAAGCTTTATCACGTGATCTGGATTGTATGGCATGTGATAAATCAGTGTCTTATCACACGAAATGTTTTTAAGCACACCCGGGTTTATAAATACAACATACCGTATTTTGTTTCAAGAATTATAGAATGAAGGCATTTTCTGTTTTCAGAACTGATTGTACACCACATCTTGGCCGCTTATGCGGACAAGGATGCAAATGGTCCCATACACTTGCGTTGGCCAGGTGCAACGACTATATCAATTGAGCACCCCCTTTCCTCTCCTCACACACCAGCACCTTGCTTCACCCACAACTGCAGCTCCTTCAGTACTGACGCCTTGCTCTCCCTGCTGGCCCCACAGCTGTTGTGAAACGCTACCGGCATGTCTCCCTGCTGCTGCTTCTCCCACTGCCCCTCCCTCGTAGGTAGTATAGATTTCGTAAAACTAAAATGCTAACCCACCAGCACACCACCAGTTACGACTGTGGATGTATGCATGTCATAGTTTATTTATCCAACCCCCCCACCCCCGCCCCCTGTAATAGTGTAAAAAAAACCACAAGTGCATCAGCCATCCACCCACAGCTGCAGCTCCTTCAGCATTGACTCCTTGCTCTCCACGCTGGCCCCACAGCTGTTGTGAAACGCTACCACCTCCTCCCTATGCTGCTGCACCCACTGCCTCTCCTCACACACCACCGCACTTGGCGGAAACAACCCCCCAGGCAAAAACCCGATCGTGATTCCTTCACCACCTGCCCCTTCACCTGCCCGTTCACCTGCCTGTGCTTCCACCACACGTGCTATAGCATGGTTGAAAGCACTCTGCACAGCCACTGACAAGCGAAGGGGTGTGCTCCCCCCATCTCCCTCCGCCTTGCCTGAAAGAGACGGCTCTTTGGACAGAGACTTGAATGCTTGTAACCCCCAAGAGAGGGCGAGGGCGTGAGTGGAGGTGGGGTGAGCGGAGGAGGTGGAAGGAGAGGAGGGGGATTGAGCGGAGGAGGAGGAAGGAGAGGAGGGGCGGAGCAGTAACAGCCAAGGGGAGAGAGAACCGAGGTGGGATCGGTCGAGAGGGGTGGGAGTGGTGGTGTTGAGAGTGGGGGGGTTGGGGGAGTGGGAGGTGGAGGGGAGGAGGACGGAGAAATTGGCAGGGAGGTAAGGCAGGGGGTTGCGAAGCCATGCAGTTGAGGGGTCACTGGTGTGGGTGGTGGTGGGAAGGGGGAGAGATGGTTTAGTTGGCTAAAAGTGAGGATGGATAAGGTGCCAGGGAGGCATGGGGGTTGCAAAGCCAAACAGTTGATGGGTCACTGGTGTAGGTGGTGGTGGGGAGGGGGAGAGTTGAATGGGTCAGGGGAAAGGTGAAATCGAAGGACGTAAGACACAGGACGATTCTTGGTGTGTGCATGTCGACTGCACACACACCCACCCACCTCAACTGCATCCACCTCAACCGCACCACACTCCGCCTGAACCGCACCCCACCCACCTGAACAGGACCGTGATGTTGGCAGCGAGGAGACGCGAGGCCAGCAGCGCCGGCATCAGCAGACATGCTAGCCTGTCCCTCTCCTCTGCCTTCTCCTCTGCCTTCTCTCCTGCCTTCTCCTCTGCCTTCTCCTCACTCCCACTGCCGCCAGTAGAAGCAGCAGAAGCGGGCTGATAAATGACATGGCGGGCGGGAGCATTAGCAGGTAGAGGGACCTGACGGAAGGGTGCAAGGAGGGGAGATGAGCAGGGAAGGGGGACCTTTGAGATGTCTCAATGAAAACAGCAGAGATGGGCTGGCGAATGATATGATGTGGCTGGGAGGCGCGTTGGCAGGTAGAGGTGCCTGAAGGTAGGGTGCAGCAGGGTGGGACGAACAGGGAGTGTTGTAATATTTCTTTGTAGCCTACGTAGGATAGAATAGGAGGTGTAGTTGTTAGCTACATTACGGGCTTGTTGGTTCACCTCCAGCCACAATTTGGAGAGCAGCAGGGCGGGATGAGCAGATAGGAGAAATACTTTTGAGACGACTCCAAACCAACGAAGCAGCAGAGGGGGGCAGGCGAATAGCATTACTTGAGGGAACCTCGGAACCTGGGATCAGTAGCAGGTACAGCCGCATAGGCACCTGCAGCAAGGGGGCAGCAGGGCGGGACGAGAAAGAAAGGGTTGGAGAATGCAGGGAGGAGGCAGGTGGGAGAGGGATATTGACTGATGGGGGGAGGCAAGCCTGGAAAGGCAGGGTATGCGTGGTACAGGGAGGGGCAGTGCACGAAGCTGCTTTATAGGTCATACAGAAAAGCGGGAAAGGGGGGGGGGGGGGGGGGAGGCGCATGAGGTGGGTACTGGAAATGGGGAGGGGGGAAGCGCATGAGGTGGGTGTTGGAGAGAAATGGGGGTGGCCATGGATTAGAAATGAGGGCGCACCCCCATGCGCTTCATGCAGGCCTGCAGGTCCCCTTCTGGAAGGAAGAGCAGAATTGCTGGGATTACTTTTAGTTGGAACAGGGATTAGGGTATGCATGCAGATTGGTACATGCGCAAATAACATCGACGTGGTGACACCCAGGTGGTGACACCCAGGTGGTGACACCCAGGTGGTGACATCCAGGTGGTGACACCCAGGTGGTGACATCCACCATCTCATGTGATGGACAAACCACATGCGCAACAGAAGCTCACCTGACAGGCAACAGAAGCTCACCTGACAGGCAACAGAAGCTCACCTGACAGGCAACAGAAGCTCACCTGACAGGCAACAGAAGCTCACCTGACAGGCAACAGAAGCTCACCTGACAGGCAACAGAAGCTCACCTGACAGGCAACAGAAGCTCACCTGACAGGCAACAGAAGCTCACCTGACAGGCAACAGAAGCTCACCTGACAGGCAACAGAAGCTCACCTGACAGGCAACAGAAGCTCACCTGACAGGCAACAGAAGCTCACCTGACAGGCAACAGAAGCTCACCTGACAGGCAACAGAAGCTCACCTGACAGGCAACAGAAGCTCACCTGACAGGCAACAGAAGCTCACCTGACAGGCAACAGAAGCTCACCTGACAGGCAACAGAAGCTCACCTGACAGGCAACAGAAGCTCACCTGACAGGCAACAGAAGCTCACCTGACAGGCAACAGAAGCTCACCTGACAGGCAACAGAAGCTCACCTGACAGGCAACAGAAGCTCACCTGACAGGCAACAGAAGCTCACCTGACAGGCAACAGAAGCTCACCTGACAGGCAACAGAAGCTCACCTGACAGGCAACAGAAGCTCACCTGACTGGCAACAGAAGCTCACCTGACAGGCAACAGAAGCTCACCTGACTGGCAACAGAAGCTCACCTGACTGGCAACAGAAGCTCACCTGACTGGCAACAGAAGCTCACCTGACTGGCAACAGAAGCTCACCTGACTGGCAACAGAAGCTCACCTGACTGGCAACAGAAGCTCACCTGACTGGCAACAGAAGCTCACCTGACTGGCAACAGAAGCTCACCTGACTGGCAACAGAGGCAAGGAAGTTGGTTGAGAGGCTGAGCTTTGAAATGGCCCCCATCCAACTCCTGAACAGGTCCGCCTCGCTTGCTGTACCCATGCCATGCCATCCATGCCATGACATGCCATGCCATGTCACGCCATGCCATGCCATGTCACGCCATGCCATGCCATGTCACGCCATGCCATGCCATGTCACGCCATGCCAAGCCATTCCACGCCATGCCTTGCCATGTCATGCCATGCCACGCCACGCCATGCCATGCCATGCCATGCCACGCCATGGCATGCCATGCCATGCCATGCCATGCCATGCCATGCCATGCCATGCCATGCCATCGCATGCCATGCCATCGCATGCCATGCCATGCGGCGCCATGCCATGCCATGCCATGCCATGCCACGCCATGTCATGCCATGCCACGCCATGCCATCCCATGCCATACCATGCCATACCATGCCATACCATGCCATACCATACCATGCCATACCATCCCATACCATGCCATGCCATACCACAGGTTGCAATCGCAGCACATGACATCATGCAGGCATGGCAGGTATGGGAAGGAAAACGGAGAAAAAAAGGCGAAAAACGATCAGGTCAGAGTGATGCTGTGAGGTTTGGAAGTTGGAACAGCCATGCAACCACCACAGCATGCGTGCCAAATGCATAGGTGACACCACGTTCACCACCCGCAGTCGCCTCAAACCCACTTGCACCGCACATGTTGGCCCTTCCACCCACCCCCCCACCCAACCACCACCCACCCACCCACCCACCCGCTCTATACATACCATGGCAGAGCACGGTGAGAATGAGCGGCCCATCCCGGGCCACACCAGGGGCCACCCTCAAGACCGCATCCACATGTGACGGCACCCACTCCGCCACTCCCATCAACCTCCTCTCCATCTCCTCCTCCCCTTCCTCGCCTCCCTGCCCCTCCTCCTTGCCTTCCCCACCAGCAGCAGCAACAGCAGCAGCACCAGCACCAGCAGTACCATCCCCACCATCAGCACCAGCACCAGCACTAGCAGTACCACCACCGCCGGCGCTCCCATCACTGCTCCCCTCTCCCTCTGGTGCCGACGGCGGCAGCAGCCAAACCCCAGCATCTATCAACCTCTTAATCTTCTTCCGCTTCCCCACCAAATAATTAGCATGCACCATCACCACCCCCGGCTTCAACCCAAAGAAAGTCGTCATATTTTTTTGCATCACCTCGCCCGACGGGAATTTTTTCCCGGGCAGCACGCCGATATTCGCCTCAATCCCCGCGTCTCTCATCAGCTTCATGACATGGAGTAGATGGTGCTGGTCGTTGCCGATCTTATTCCCTTTCACCACCATGTTGTATGCCCACACGGAGGCAAGGGCCTTGGCTCCCAAGGTGGGGCGGAAGAAGAGGAAGCAGGAGCACATGATCTCTGGCAGCCCTGGCTCGGCCAGACTGATGGTGTGATCTGGGCCGTCCGTCCAGGCTTGATCTGCGGTGATGAACACGTCGAACTCTTTCGGCAGGGCAGCAGCAGGAGGCGAGGCGGAGTCTGGTGAAGGGGTGGCGGAGGAGGAGGCGGCGGAGGAGGGAGAGGAGGGGGGAGAGGAGGAGGGAGAGGAGGAGAAGGGAGCGAAGTAAGGGAGGGGGTTTTGCAGGAGAGCAAGGTCGACATCGGAGTAGAGGACGGAGAAGCCAAAGGCGAGGAGGTGCAGGATGTAGACGGCCCTGCGGGAGGTCACTCGGAGGAATCCCGCGGAATGGTATCCGATCTCTTGGGACAGGTCCACATGTCCATCCTCCTTCACCAACTGGTCCTCTAAGTCCAGGCGCAGTGCCTGGGGGGGGCAGGGGGGAGGCCGCAGGAATAGCAGCAGCAGCAGCAGGGAGAGCAGGAGAAGGGGGCGAAGTATGGCAGGGGGTTTTGAAGCAGAGCAAGGTGGTCATGGGAGGAGAGCAGTGAGAGGCGGAAGCGACCAATTCTTGTCTACCCACCCACCTGCCCCGGGCACTTCTTGTCTACCCACCCACCTGCCCCGGGCACTTCTTGTCTACCCACCCACCTGTCCCCGCCACGTCTTGTCTACCCACCTGTCCCCGCCACTTCTTGTCTACCCACCTGCCCCGGCCACTTGTGGTTGGCAAACTCAAAGCCCTGCCTCTCCGACTTTTTAGGCGCCTCAAAAGTCATCCCACCCACCTGCCCCGGCCACTTCTGGTTGGCATAGTCGAAGCACTGCTTCTCCGCAGCAAAGATGATGTAGTGCCCGCCCAGGCCCACCTTGTCCGCATGCAGCGCCCAGTTCTCCAACATCTCCTTGTGGCCTGCTGGGGAGAACCGGGAAAGGGAAGGGGGGGAGGGGGAGGGGGGAGGGGGGGGGGGGGGGGGGAGGGAGGATTTGATACGGATTTGATATGATACGAAACGATACGACGATATGATACGATGCGATACGATTTGATACGATACAATACGATACGATGCGATGCGATACGATACGATACCATACGATACGATACGATACGACGATATGATACGATACGATACGATACGATACGATACGATATGATACGATACGATACGATACAATGCGATACGATGCCATATGACTCGCCTGCATTGACGGAGACGATGACAACACTCCCGTTGACCGGACTTGGTATGGATTCGATATGATACGAAACGATACGACGATATGATACGATGCGATACGATTTGATACGATACGATACAATACGATACGATGCGATGCGATACGATACAATACGATACGATGCGATGCGATACGATACCATACGATACGATACGATGCGATACGACGATATGATACGATACGATACGATACGATACAATACGGTACGATACGATACGCTGCGATACAATACGATACGATACGAACAATGCGACACGATGCCATATGACTCGCCTGCATTGACGGAGACGATGACAACACTCCCGTTGACCGCCACGCGGCTCGCCATGTCCCACAGCGGTGCCAGTCTCGCGTGCATGTCCCCACCGCCCTCCCCCAGTTGCCGCCTCCCCTTCAGTGCCGAGGTAACCAGATCATCGCCCTCCCCCAGTTGCCGCCTCCCTCCACCCGCCCACTCGCCATTTCCTAGCACTTCTCTTGCGTCGCGCGGCGCCTTTGACTGCTGCAAAAACTTCTTGAATAAAATTTCTCCGCGCATGCGACTCGGTACACTGCGGCGATTTTTTTCCACGGCCAGCCGCAGCGCGGCGGCAACGGGCGCAGGTGGGAGTAGCCGCAGCGGGGAGCTTTCTGACGTGGCGGAGTGTGATAGGCCGTCGTCTCGCGGCGTGTGGTTGAGGGGTTCGAGGGGCAAGCGAGCGAGGAATGAGATGATGGGGCAGAGCAGGAGGACGAGGAAGGCGAGGAAGGCGAGGAAGGTGAGGAGCAGCGCGGGAATGAGCTGCGAGAGGCAGAGGTGATGGGAAGTTTGAGTCGACTCCAAAGTTTGGGTCGACTCCAAAATCGCCTTTGGATTCCGATATGGTAGTACTGCTGCTGCCCCCATGCTCGCTCGCTACTGTCGCGGCACGGTCTTGAAGAGATGACGATTTGGCGGCTACTAATGCATCAGTGCGCCACCGGCGCGACGCGACCGTGTGACCGTGTGAGGGAACTGACATTGACGGGCATTTGTCTGAGTTCCTCGCTGCATGTTTTTGTGTAGGGACCGCAGTGGGCCTAAACTCGTCGCCTGAGTGCAAAAGTGATTTCGCGAAAAGAACAAACTTGGCAAAATGGGATTCTTCTGTAACTGACTCACATGCGCGACATATTGCGTGGGCAAGTCGCCCATCCGTTCGCTCGCCAGTTTCGCTGCATCAACCCGATTCCCCATAACAGAGTTCCAACTTCCAAAACCATCATACACAATGTAAGGAATTTTCCCTAAATCCTTACTGAGGCACCTTATGCGCGTACAACTCCAACTTTCGGAGTTCAGGCTCGGTCCGACGACCTCGCCTTCCGAACGTCCCTCGCGTCGCCTTCGGGTTTCCCAAACCCAAACCTGCACCCGGCCTTGCGCGGTCCCGCGGCCTTGGCCTAGCTAGCCTTTGCTATATAATGGCTAGGACTCATTATTTCAACAGACGTTGTAATCACTTCTGCGATATTGCATTCTGTCAGAAATCCCAACCACTAGACCATTGGGATAAAAGGGCTTGTTAAGTAGCGGGTCAGTGCGCCCATAACCCCCCAGGCCAACATGCCTGTAACCCTTCCCTAGGATCAATCGGGGATCACCAGTGGACCTCTGACACCCCCCCGCACTGGGATGCCCGAAGTGCATACACCGGGATTCGAACCCGAGACCTTCGCTCTGATACCATGTCAGAAATCCCAACCACTAGACCATTGGGATAAAAGGGCTTGTTAAGTAGCGGGTCAGTGCGCCCATAACCCCCCAGGCCAACATGCCTGTAACCCTTCCCTAGGATCAATCGGGGATCACCAGTGGACCTCTGACACATTCTGCGCACTCTTCTCTTTTACAACTCATAACACTTGGTATCAGAGCTACTTTCCTAGGTTACCCTCGCGTTTCCGGGGTAGTTTAGTGATGGGGTGCGATAGACTTGGTGGGTTGCAAAGCGGTCAGCTGCGAAATAGATACGATTATTTCGCTCCGACTACGTTTGCATTTGCGCCTTCACCAAAGTCATAAAAATGGCTGTAAACCCCCCCGCCCGTTAGGCGAAGCCTGAGACACATGGAGCAGGCCGAGCTCAACGAGTTCATGCAACAGTTCCGGGCGATGCAAGCAAGCCAACTTGCAAACCATGTCTGCCGAGGTGGAGCGCCTGAGGGGAGAAAACGCCGAGCTACGCCAGACGCGAGGTGAAGCGCGTCTGGAGCCGCCCGTCGTGGATGAAGTGAGCAGTAGCTCATCGCTCAACGAGGCCGTACTCAGCGAGTTACAAGGCTCCTTGGATGCTGAAGATGAATGGCAGCCGTGGCAGCAACAGGCGCAAGAAGCACTAGAGCAACAGCAACAGTCACAAGCAGCGCCGAGACAACAGTCGCGAACAGTGTCGAGAAGGACACCAGCGACAACACCGGCGATGGCTTCGACAACACCAACGATGCATGCAGCAACAGCAGTTTCTACAACTGTCAAGATTAAACCGACAAACCCGCCCCCGTTCAACCCCAGCGACAAAGGCGTCACGGTTTCTGCATGGTTGTTCAACGTGGAGGTTTTCTTATGCTGCGCAAATTGCTAATGATGCCACCCGCGTAAATTTTGCAGTGTCGCTGTTACGAGGAACGGCGTTGGAGTGGTGGCGACGCACACTACAGTCAGAGGGGACTCCGGTAGGGATATCACGTGCGAACGACGGGACCTGGACATCTGTCACGCAACAAGCAACCTCGATCTTCAGAGTGGCTACGATATGCACATGGACGGAGTGGGGCGCAGCCTTGCGAACCAGATTCGAGCACGTATCCGCCTCGAATTCTGCTCGCATGAAGCTGCGTGCCTGGAAGCAGTTGACTTCGGTCCAAGACTACACGGCGACGTTCTGCGCCTTGGCCGACCAAGTGGACGACATGGGTGACGCGGAGCGGCTCGATAAATACGTCGCATGCCTCAAATACGAGATTCAGTTCGTGGTGCGACGTACGAGGCCACGCGACTTCAACGATGCCGTCCAGCTGGCCGAATCTGCGGAAAGTCACTCGACAAGGTAGTGAGCTAGACTATGGGGGGGGGAGTGGCACGAACTACTAGGAGTGATCGTAGCTTTTCTTAGTTCCTTAGCGCTTGCGCATTCACGGGAGAAATCGGCAAGAGTTTCACTAGGCAAAGATTGCATTACAGAATGATTAACATCACAATGACAAGAAAATGACTACATCAGGCACCTAGCAACTCTGGAGCAAGCCTGGTCGACCGCCAGCACTGCATGGTCGACCGCCTGCCAGCGTTGCGTAGAGGAGCCGCGCCAGCACTGCAGAAAGGCGACCTGCCAACACTGCAAGTCGATGGCGTGCCAACGCTGCAGCAGTGCGGCTGTCCAGCGTTGCACCCATAGATGGCAGCAGTGCGCACGCTCGCAGGTGCGCGCAGACGATTGGCCCGACTTGCACCATTGTGCATCCGTCGGCTGTTGTCTGCACCTGACGAGCCACATCGACTTCGGGATACCAGCCCGAAGTCGCCTTCGTTACTGCGACCTCGACGACTTTTGCGTGCCTCCGCAGAACTCGCCGAGCAGGTTACCTGGTCGACCTGGACACCACCAGGTGCTCTGGTCGACCACCAAGTGCCTCTGGTCGACCACAGCTCCCGTCGAGCAACACCCTAGTCGACGGGCCCCTCCGTCGACCAGCATTGTCAGCTGCTGTCGCCGGGCTCCCCTAGTCGACCGCTGTTCACATGTTAGGTCGACAGACTGCTCCGTCGATCTCCCCGTCGAACTGCCCCTCCTGGTCGACGGCCCACCCGTCGACCAGCCCAGTCAGCTGCAGCTGTCAAGCTCCCTGGTCGACGGCTCCAGCTCCGTGACAGACCTGTGCAGGTCGACGACCACTTCGTCGTCCTGCCCCGCAGAAGAAGGCCGTCGAACTCCCTGGTCGACGGCAACACCACAGTGATTCCCTGCAACTCGACGAAGCCCGTCGAGCAGCTCCCTCACTGTGAACGGTCGGTTGTTTCTCCCGTACATCCGACCAAGTCGTCGGCGTTGCCCAAGAGAGGGCGGGGCCAACACTCCATTCCCGTTAACACTCCCCTGCCGCGCTCACGCTTGGGCCCCCAGCCCACACGGCAGTACTCCACGGAGAAAACTCGTCCTCGGCGTGCACCCCACACACAGAACGCCGTCACCGCACCAGCCGTGCAGAAGGGCACGTCACCTACTGCTGCACATCATCGCCCCCGTCGCCGACGTTGGCCAGACGCACTTGGCCGATGACGACAGAGCACCAATTGAAGGCCGGAAAATGCAGCGCCTTCGTCAAGAAGTCGGCCGGCTGCTCGGTGGTCGGGATGTACTTCAGCATGAACTTCCCGCGCCTCACCATGTGCTGCAGCCAGGCGTAGCGTCGTTCCATGTGCTTGAGGTTGCCCGTCAGCCCCAAGCCCTCCGGGACCGTGATGGCCGACTTGTTGTCCACTCGGAGGACTGTCGGCTTCCCAGCATCGAGCTGCTTGAACTCTGCAAGTAGGAAGCCAAGTCGGCGTCCCTCCTTGCCAGCGTCAGTGGCCGCCACATACTCCGACTCGGTCGACGACAGTGTCGCGCACTTGATGCGCGAGCTCGACCAGGAGACTGCGGCCCCTCCGTAGACGAACACGTAGCCGCCCGTGCTCGTCCGGTTCTGCTTGTCGCCCGCGTCGTCGGCGTCCACGTAGCCGATCAGCTCCAGCGACTCTGGTCCACCGCCGAACTCCAGGGAGGTGTCGCGGGTGTGAGTGCGGTAGGTGAGGCAGCGGTCGACCTCGCGCCAATGCTGGTCGCTCCTCACCGTGAGGCCGCTCCCCAGCTTCTTGCAGGCGAACGCGATGTCCGGCCTCGTCGTCGTCGCCGCCGCGAACTGCAGCGAGCCAACCTTCTGCCGGTACTCCTCCTCCTCGCGCTCCTGCGCCTCCTCGTCGTCGAATGTCAGCTCGGCGTAGGCGTCGACCGAGACCGGCGTCTTCGGGATGCGCCCGGTCTGCTCCTCATCGATGAAGCGCATGCGCAGCTTGTCGGCATAGTTCTGCTGGTGCAGCCACAGCTTCCTCGCTGGCTTGTCGCGCACGATCTCCAGACCGAGGTACTTGACGACCGGCGAGATCTCGCGCAGCTCGAAGGCGGCCTCCAGCAGCTCCTTCAGCTCCTTCAGCATCGTGGTGCTGCTGCTGCTGGCGGCGAGTAGGTCGTCGACGTAGACCAGCACCCAGCAGGTCTCTCCGTCGTCGCCGGCCTTGAAGTAGAGCGCCGTGTCGACCTGGCTCTTCTTCCACCCAGCGCCCAGCAGCACAATGTCGAGAGCCCTGTACCACAGCAGCGGCGACTGCTTCAGCCCGTAGAGGCTCTTCAGCAGCTTGTGTCAAATATACTAGGAGTACGGCGTAGGCTTAGTAGCCTAGGCCACAGTAGGACTACGAAAGGAGGCGCCAAGTACGAGCTAGGAATGTGTGCACGAACAGAATTGAGAAGGAATGATTGAACTAGCAAGCATCAGGATACAAATAGCAAACCCTAAGGGGCTGTACTCACTATTGAGTACCCCACTGCAGGCTACACAAACAACATATTCTGACACACCCCCATAGCCAAAGTGGGGTGTAATCAGCACAATGAGCAGGCAGTGCAATAGTTCACAATTATCAGCAAATCTAGAGGCTATCACAGAGGGCAAGTGAGGAGGAGGAGGGACTGTGAGAGGAGAGAAGATGGGAGGCGACGACTGAAGCTGCAGACATACGGGCAACAGAAGCGGCTGACACAGTGGCGGCTGACACAGTGGCTACCGAGGCAAGGGCCCCGGACTACTGGAGTAACTGGCTCTGCGGCT